TGGGCACTTTTGCCTTCTCTCTATCACTTTTGAGGGTATTTGAGGCTGTGCCTAGACCTGGTCTTGACCCCACCCACTACTGCCTTCTGCTCGGTGTCCTCACAACCCGTCATCATGGCCTTGTGGAAATTGGGGAAAATTTGAAGTAGACTCAGGACACAGCCTAGTAAATTATGTTCCTATTCCCAGAAGAATTAATTTTTTATGTAGTTACTCCAGAGGTGGAAACTCAGTCTTTGAACCTTTCTGACAGGCCTCTGCAGTAGCCAGGGGCAGAAGGAGCCCTCGCCTGTGATGCACAGAAGCCTAACTGAAGCCAGAAGACTGGGCCTTGAGGTTCCTAGAGATGGAGGCTGGCCTTTTAGCCTAGATGATAAAAGGTCTGTGTCTCTGACTAGACCCCAGGGCACTCCATGAATTTTTAGACTGCTATTTCCTGCAAGTGATACTTTGAAAAAGGTTTGGTTCAGATCTCAGAGGCTGTTGAGTAAATCAAGCGGTATGTGTTTTGTTAGAGGCATCTGCCTCAGGTATTATGTACAGTATTTTTGGTGGATGTGTCCCATTATTTATTTTGCCTCTGTCTGGGGTATTTTTTTGTGTGCACCCTCCTCTACCCCTTTTTCTCCAGAACAATTCCCTCTTAAACAGTTTCCAGATAGATTTCTGTAACCATACCAAAGCCAAGATGTTCTCATTCATTTGGATACAGTATTTATGGATATCTGACTACCTAACTTAATACTTCCCTTTAAAGAAACTAAAGCCAGTGTAAGATCCTGGAGGTTGGTCTGCAAATCAGGCCACCTGTGTTTGTGTACGAGACCCTGTGTTCAGGACTGAGTGGCTTTTCTAAGAGAAATATGGGGAGTGGGGAGGGGTTTGATTGTATGTTTTTTACTTAATTCTTGGGGGTGGGGGAATGCTATTTTTTATGGTATTTTTGGTTTTGTTTTAATATTTCCTTTTAGCCTTCAATTTTTACTAAATTTCTCCTGATTTAATTTTTTTTCCTCATCTGAGAATTTGAAGTCTCAATACTTAAATGTTATGCCATTTTTTCCAAAGAGTTAAAACCACTTTAATACCAGAATATGGTAAATTTGCAGACATTTCAAACAGCTGGTGGGCTTTTTATTAAAATAGCATCATTAACTGGTACCATTAAGTGTTCTGAGAGGTGAATGTAAAATGTAAAAAGTATAGGTTTTTCTTTTTAATAACAATAAACTTTCAAAGAGAAAACCAGCATGTAGCCTGTGTTGTATCATTGATTTGAAATGATTGAAATTTTTTTTTTACATTGTCAATGCATTGATTTAGGGAAAGGAAATTAAGGCAGAAGGAGGGATTCTAGACATTTACTTGTCACCAGTGAAGACTAAGCTGTAGAGTGGTGTCAGAAAGGCTCACACTCAATTTTATAAAGAGAAGTATAGAGTGCTTTGCTTTTCTTTGATAGAGACAGGATCTCACTCTGTCATGTAGGTCAGGAATACAGTCAGTGGTGTCATCATAGCTCACTGCAGCCTTAGGCTACTGAGCTTGAAAGAACCTTCTGCCTCAGCCTCCCAACGTGAAGTGTGCACTACCACACCTGGCTAATTTTTTTTTGGTATCTTTGTAGAGGTGGAGTCTTACTGTGTTGCCCAGGCTGGTCTTGAACTCCTGGCCTCAAAAGAAGGCATCCAAAAGCGCTAGAATTACAGATATTAACAAGTGTGAACTGAGAGGTACCAGAATAGAGTTGGGGTTTGTGGGGGCGGGGGGATGTAAAAAGGAGAACAGGCCAGTCCAGGAATTTAGAAGAGAGAAAATGCAGAGTGGAGTCTGACCAGGAGTCCATTCACTCTCACACAGTTTCAAGAGGCTTTTTAGTGTAGTTGGAATGAGGGAGAGGCATCATCTTTCTTCTGTAGAGTGCATGGTGCTATGTTAAGGGACTAACCTTACAATTACTCCCTTTCACCAAAAGTGTTAATCTTGCACTGGGGCCTTATCTCTAGTGTGGTCCACGACCAGGGCAGCTTTCTAATGTTTCCCAAGAACACTGGCCCTGAGGGGTTCTAAGAGTGTGGGGAGGGGGCTGCTGTAACCATGCCATTCGGGCTCTGACCTGCTTTCCATCTCTAGCCATCCTCCCAAGGTGGGTATACTCTTGTCAGGGTCCCGAGGATTTATAGGGATGTGGGGAGGGGGTTGCTATGGCTATTCTATTTGGTCTCTGGCCTGCTTTCACCTGCTCTCTCTCCCCAAATGGCTGTACTCTACTCATGGTCATGAAGATTTCTTCCCCACATGAGCTACCACATCTGGCTCAGTCCTGAGCTGTTGACCCTTAAATGTTGTGTACTCCCTTCTTGTTGGAAATGATAAAAGTAATTTATTTATTTATTTTTTGAGACACAATCTCACTTTGTCACCCTTGGTAGAGTGCTGTGGCATCACAGCTCACAACAACCTCAAACTCTTGGCCTTAAGCGATTCTCTTGCCTCAGCCTCCCAAGTAGTTGGGACTATAGGCACCCACCACAATGCCCAGCTATTTTTTTTTTTTTTTGGTTGCAGTTGTTACCGTTGTTTTAGCCAGCCTGAGGCTGAGTTTGAACCTGCCAGCCTCTGTGTATGTGGCTGGTGTCCAAACCACTGAGTTGTAGGTGTTCCTGATAAAAGTAATTTAAAAATTGAGTAAATAAAATTGACCTTAGGTGGAGAAAAACCTTGAAGTAAAGTAAATGCATGATAGAGGATATTGTTTAATTGGTACATGATTAGGGAAGATGTTGCTCTTGGAACTTGAGATCAGTGCAATCTTAAGCAACAAATGTTGGTATGTGTACTGTTCCCTGAGAACAACTGACAAGTCTACTTGCTGCCACAGGTGACTGGCCTGGCATGCCTGTGACCCAGTTAAGGCATACCATTGGGAAGGACTGCTTTAGGTAATGGAGAGGGACAGTTCCATTTAAAAATTTTTTTTATTGTAATGTAAAATTTGTTATGTTACAATAAAGGTAACATAAAAATGTTACTTTTTTACGTATTGTACAGTAACATAAAAATGTTACTGTAACCTATTGTAACATAAAAGAGCACAAATATTAATTGTTGAAGTGAGAGTGAGGGCATCCATGTAATGAGCATCCAGATCAAGAAATAACATAACGAGAGCCCCCAAGCCCCTTATGCTTCCTTCCAGCTACTACTACTAACTAGTTGTCTCTATTTTAACAACCTTAATCTTTGAGCTCTTGACCTGCTGGGTCCTTTCATAGTTGTTCAAGAACCATATAGGCTAGAGACTGACCAGGGAGTTAAGAGCTGGCAGCAAAGGATGTGGCTCAATGGGTGCAGGAAAAAACAGGTTCAGGTCAACGCTTTTGCCTTCCTATTTGTCATGTACTACCAGGACAAATGGGGCTTGCCCTTGATGTCATAGAGTACTTGATACTTGGTGTATGCTAGGCTCTGCGTTAAACCCTGCGTGAGAGGCGTCTTCTCAGTCCTTGCAGTCGTCTTTGAAAGAGTACTGACAAACTCCCAAATTTAAGGCTGGTGTATTAGAAGAATTAATCTGAGTCTTGACTTAATTCTTTGAAATCCAGAGCTCCACACTGTGCTTGGTACATAATAAATACTCTATGTTATTTGGCAAATGACATTAGTGGGAAGTGATGTGCCAAGAAGGCAAACCAGTTGGTAATAACAGCTCACATTCCAGGTGCCGTGTGTGCCACTCGGTTCTCTGTTAAGCCTCAGAATATCTCTAAGGAGAGGACACTATTGCTCTCACCAGGTTTCAAAGAAGGCAACAGACACCTGGAGTTGTAGGAGGTGGTGGTTCTGTAACTTTTCCAGGGTCTGGATCTTTCCGATTCCAAGCCCAGTTTCCCATAACCACCACTCTCTGCAGTCTCTTCCCTTCCCTCTTTGTCAAAATTGTACTCAGCATTTCCACCTTTCTCCTTCAGTGCTTCCTTGGGAGGTATTTTTTCTTCGTCTGCTTTCTTTCATCTCTTACACGCACATACTCCTAGAGCAAATACTGGAAGTGAAAACATTATTATTTGCTCGGCTGCTTTCCCCTGTGGATAACTCTGGGTTTCTCCTGTGACATTAGAGCTGAGAGAATCACAGTGACCAGCCAAGAGGTTGCTTTCCATTGATGCTGCATGAGTATAAGCCCCCTGAAAAGGAAGGAACTACATAGAATGGAAAGGGTTAACTGGTCTTGGTGGAAACCACTTTAAGCAATAAAGCAGCCTGAGGGCCTTCATAGGAAAACTTGCATCTGTGTATTCTCAGTTCACTTTCTCCCTGCCTTTCTCATCCATGGAGTAGGGGCCATTGAACTGGTTTCTAAAAATGTAGATAGGAGCTAGCTGAACATTGTGCACCTTGGTGCTCTTTGATGGCAGTGGGCCTTTTCATGTCATGGCCTCCTGTGGAGGCACTGTCATGGAAGAATACACCAGCGCCATGTCACCTGCTTCAAACTGTCTGCTCAGTTCCAATCAGTGACCTGCTTA